GAGATAAAAACGAGTTTGCAGTTTACCCAGCGAGATGTGGATGTGATTAAAGCAGCCATGGGTGAACAGAAAATACAAACCATGGAAACAAGGGATGATGTCTACAAAACTTGTGAGAGTTTAATAACTATAACAGATAAAATGGAGCATTTGGAAGTACAGTCCAAGCGAAAAAATCTGATCTTTGAGGGAATCAAGGAGTCAGCTGGAGAAAGCTGGACGGAAGCGGAATGTAAGGTGAAGGAAATATTAAAGGATAAACTGCAAATTCATCAAGAAATTGAGATGGAGCGGGCTCACAGAGTCGGGAAACCTTCTGATCGGGGACCGAGGGCGGTGATGGTAAAGTTGATGGAAGAGAAAGATAAGGCACACATACTGCAACAAGCAAAGAAGCTTAAAGGATCTAATATTTATATAAATGAAGATTACACCGAGTCTGTGAGGAAGAGAAGAAGGGAGTTGATGCCGAGGTTAAGGGAGGCCAGGGCGAGGGGAGACATCGCGTTCCTGCGGTATGATTGATTAGTGACCCGACCTCAGAACGAGAATCCAGGACCCAAGACCAACACGCCGAGGACCAGTATGCCGAGACAAGGAGAGCATGAAGGGGTCGCTGGACCCTCAGCTGGATGAAGAAACACGCAGGTATATTGATATCTGCGAGGGCAGATGAGCGTTGGAACTAACAATTAGCAGGAACCAACAACAAGTATGACCCACGTATGGAATGAGGCAAGTGATTTGCTACAGAGGTTAATAGTTTGTGAGGGACTGGATCTGGAACTGAACACAATTGGAAACACCGAACAACATTATCATGAACCGGACGATGATTTTGACCCTGAAAAAAACTTTTTTGAGAACTCTGAAAATAACTACACAGATGAGCCGTTTAACAGCAATGTTAAGACTGAAAACAAATTATCATTAATTCACTTTAATAGCAGAAGTTTATACGCAAACTCGCAGAGTATAAAACCTTATCTTAGTAGTCTTACACATTCTTTTAATATAATTGCTATTTCTGAAACTTGGATGAATAATGTAAGGGGAATGGATTTTGACCTAGATGGCTATGACTTGGTATGCACAAACAGAGAGAATAAGATGGGAGGTGGTGTGCCCTTGTACATAGATAAAAACTTTTGTTATAAGAAAGTGGAGAAAATGTCAAGGGTGGTGGATAATTTGCTGGAACTTTTCTATAGGAGGGTGACGAATGAGCATGCTGTAAGGAGGCTAAAAGAGGATTTTATGGGGCAAAACTGGGAATCAGTTTACAGAGAGGAAGACTTAGATAAAGCATATGAGCAATTTTTAAATATATGTAAGAAAGTATATGACAGGAACTGTATAAAAACAAAATGAATTACAAA